TTTAGTTTATAAAATGACAGCACTAAAGCTGTTCACCCTTACAATTGTATAACACTGGGGGAGAAGCACCTACCATTTAATTTTAAAGATGAAGGAAAAAAGAAAAGAGAGTGGCCAGGTCACTTGCTCTCAGAGAGGTGAAAAACTAGTCTTTCAATTCTCAGTAACACTATGCCATACTGGTTCCTTAGTACAATGAAAACAAAATGTTAAAGAAGGGAAGGCAGTATGATGTGGGACAACTATGGAAATGGGTTAGAAAATGTGCATTTAGTAAGAGCTATAGCATTAAATAGTTATGAGACCTTGACCTACATCTTTCCTGAATCTTGTTTCCTCATTTATAAATAAGAGATGCTTTTATTATTATTTTATTGAACATATGAATTTAAATTTTTAAAAGGTATTTTATGGGGGATTATTTTGCAAAACAAAAAATTGGTTACATTGGTAATTTCACCTTTAGTCCTTAAAATCAAATTTTATATATATTTAGCATCTAGATCAATCCTTCTTGTTATAGTACGTATTCAATAAACACTTGGAACATTAGTGGATGAATGAAAAAGTGTTCTACAGTGGGGCATACATATATATCCATATGCATATTAAATCTAAATTAATATCTTCTGTTTATATCTGTTTATTAATACAACGAATAAATACTACGTATTTATAATATAATAGGAACTGGAGACCCAGGAATGCCAATAACTAGACTCATGCAGCTTACATTCAAGGAAGGTCAGGTGCTAAAAAAATTAAAAGAACAAATGATTACAGATTTTCTTTGGGGGATACAAAGTGCTTTGTTAAATAAAAGCAAGGCTGAAGTTTAAGAAGACTTTGGAATTTTTCAGAATGGATGTATGCACACGTGCCAATTATGAGGGCAAGTTATTACAGAGAAAGGACAGAATAGACAATTTTAATCAATTTTTTTTTGAGAGAGAGAGAGAGAGAGAGAGAGAGAATATTTAATATTGATTTTTCAGTTTTTGGTAGACACAACATCTTTATTTTATTTTTATGTAGTGCTGAGGATCGAACCCAGCGCCCTGCGCATGCCAGGCGAGCGCGTTACTGCTTGAGCCATATCCCCAGCCCCTCAACTTGAATTTATTGATCATAAATTTATAACTTAACTCCTCTCACTTTGCCTAGTAGTGTTTGACTGCAGTAGGGCAGGCACAGGAATTTAGGCTGTTGGATTATCCAGCAATCTTTCTATTAATATGATGAAAAGACAGAAGAAAAAAGGGAATTTATGAATTGATGAGTGTTACTTAAATGGTATGGTATATCAGGCTCAAATGTGATGACTCTCTGTGCCAATGGGATCTTGGCATGGTTAAAATGCAGATATCAAAGTGGTTGATCAAGAGTCTAATACCTGCACACTTTGCAAATCACCCTTTTGTCTACAAAGGATGTATCATAGTACCATTGTTGTTGTTTTTTTATAAATTTTCATTAATTCAAGAAAATCATCTAAATGTAATAAGATCTCACTGCCTATTTTTTAATAAATAACTTATACAAACTCAAAAAAAAAAAAAGTAAGAGAGGGCCTATTTCAAAAAAGAGTTAGAAGAGGACTGTTTGAGGAGATGACAAGTGAGTTTAGACCATAAAGATGAATAAATTATATGCAAAAATTAAGAGAGGAGTATTCTAAGAAGATTAAGTAGCATAAATGCAAATAGGCTAAAAAGGGAAAGGGTTTGATGTCTTGGAGAAAGGAACCAAAGAGTATGGCTGGTACCTAGTAGGCAAAAGGAGAGAGTGGCTGGATGAAGTAATGGAAAGAGGGCAATGAGGTTAGAGATTTAGGCAGCAGGTTGATATAGGGCCCTAAAGACCCATAAAAAATTCTTAATTCACTCATGGAAAAATGGAGGGAGGAAGGTAGTATTAAAGTAAAAGCTCATTTCAATAAACATTAGAAAAAGAGATTTTACTTAACCATACTATTTCAAAGTATAAAGCTTATAGTATAGAAGAGTAAAGTAAATTTAAATTGATGTAACCAATTGACTAATAACTACCCTGGAGCCCTGAACATGCCACATTCTCTTCTGGTAATAGATTTTCCAATCATCTAGCCACAAGGATGAATTTGTGACTTGGGTAAAACCAATTACAGTAAGTCACCTACTGGCCCAGGGATAAATCCAAGCAACTCAGTCCTACAGCTACAAAAAAACAAAAACAAAAACAAAACCCGAAATATTTAATTTAAAAATCTTGTCACAAAGAAAACCTCCAAGCTAGGATAAATTCACTGAAAAATTCTAATACACATTTAAGGAAGAAATAACAAGCCTGAATAAGCTCTTTCAGAAAATAATAAAAGGGACACTTCTTAAAACATTTAATGGGGCCAATATTATTCATATAATACAACCAAAGACATCTTAAGGACAGAAAACTACAGACATTTCTCACAATAATGCAGAAATCCCAAACAAAATAAATCCAGCAAAATAACAGAAAGGATAATAAATATATCATGATCAAGTGGGAGTTGTTTTAGGAATGCAAGATTGTTTTACTATTTAAAAATAATCAACATAATTCACAATATTACAGCAATAAAGAATAAGAACAATCTCTTCAATAAATGCAAAAAGAAAGACTCACAAAGATAAAGAAATTAATTCAGCCCCATTCATGATAAAATGTTTAGCAACAAAAGCATGGAAGTACTCTCCTCAAAAGCAATAACAACACCTAGCACACAAATCTTACTTTCTGAATACCATAAACCAAGTCTGCTTAGAGAAGTAGTTGATTCCAAGCCAGGCATGGTGGCACATGCCTATAATCCCGGCAACTCAGGAAGCTAAGGCAGAAGGATTCCAAGTTCAAAACCAGCTTCCACAATATAGCAAGACCCCCATCTCAAAATAAAAAGGACTGGGGATATAGCTCAGTGGTAAAGTGCCCAGTTGACTTCAGAGTTGAGGCAAGGAAAATTTAATATAGGCCATGAATATTTCATGATGCCAGAAAGTAAAAGAAGTACTCAAAGAAATGAGCAATGTTAAATGTCAGAAACTAACCTGAAGGAACTTCCAATGACAAAATATAGAACAATTCAAGCAACCAAGTAATTCTAGTGCTGGATTAAAACTCATAGTTCTTTGAGAATCTAACCTGATATAAATAATTAAATAAACAAAATAAATGGCAGAGAAGAGAGAGCTCTTCTTACAAAATTATAATTAATAAGTATAAAAAGGACCCATAGAAATAGAAAATCACCAATAAGCAAACACCACAGTTGTAAATGGGAATATAAGATTCATGAATGAATGTTAAAACTAGTGGGAAATATTTGAGGAGAAAGATCATTTGCGTAGTCTCCAAGTTTTGTCCATCTCTATTGACTCACCTATCTAGATGAGGTCTTCTTATGCTGACCAGGCTGGCCATAAACTCACTATCCTTTGGCCCTCAACCTCTTGAGTACCTGGGGTTATAGGGGTGCTCCACCATGCCCAGCTTCAAATCACCCTTTTAAAAGTAAACTACCACATTTTTAATTGTTTAATTTCTTTTTGAGGAAATAAAGATAGAAACACTAATGCAATCTAACTATTAGTTTCTACTGCTTAAATATGCTATCCCTTAATTACTCTGTACCACAAGAACATATTAGTATAGTTTTGAATACAATGCAAAATTCTTTTTACAGTGGTCTTTACCAAATGTTTATGACAAAGCTATTACTATAAACATACTCTAGGAGACAGTGCCCCCTTGTGCCAATCAATGATATTCATAAATTAAGGAAGAACAACCAATGATTAGTTCTAACACTAAAAGCATGGAATTCCTAAAGAAAGCCTTGATTGGCTGGGAGTGTAGTCATTGGTGGAGTACTTGCCTATGTTCAATAAATAAATAGATAGATAAAAGACCCTGATCTTTCTGTGTGTTGTTTTGGTTTGTTTTGTTCTGAGACAGGGTCACACTATATTGCTGGTCTGGTTTCAAACTTGGAGGCTGAAATGATCCTCCTGCCTTAAGTCAACTGAATAGCTGGAGTTATGGGTATGCACCACCATGCTTGGCTCTTCCCGTGTTTTGATTTTAACAGTTCATATTTAAAGTGGTGATCTTTAAAGACAAATGAATTGAACAATACCTAAATCTCATATAATATTTATGGCATTCAGTAGCAAATATCTTCATAACTTTTAGCACTATTACGATACAAGCTACTCAAGTACTTATAGGCTGAGTTCAGAGATAAGTATTTTTTTCTAATCCTTAAGTTCCACCACAAAATATAAACAGCAAAACAAAAAAGAGAAAACCTAATCTACTTCAGAGAAAAATAGATGACACAAAAACAGACTATGGTGACTTGCTTTAAAATAAGCATATAGTTCATCCAAGTTTTTGATATTTTCTTCTGATATCTTGGACAACAAAACTTTACTTTTAAATTTGATATATGGCCTAATTACCTTTTATAAAGCTTCTTCAATACGTGATAACAGACCATTAAAACATAATCATCATTTTTACTATAGGTTTATACAGTGTGTACACATATATAGATTATGTAGACACATAGAAACAATTTACTATGCACATGTGTGTACATTCATTTATTATAGACAAAAGTATTAAAGTACTAGACTTATTACATTAAGATAATAAAAAACATAACAAGTAACAAGTGAAGTAAAATATTCAACAGCACAGTATCTTCCTAATAATTGGAATGACCACAATTTCTTTTTTCCCCCTTTTTTTTGTGGTGCTGGGAATTGAACTCAGGGCCTTGTGTATACCAGGCAAGCACTCTGCCACTGAGTAACAGCCCCAGTCCACAACTCCCATTTCTACTGAGCACTGTCATTAGGAAAATTAAATGAATTATCATCAACAAAGCACTTTCTCTGATAACATCATAAAATGTTTGTTGCATAAGTGAATTAATAAATATAAGAAATTATATATAAGTTACATTCAATAATACCTACTTCCTAAGGTGGTCATGTTCTTTCAGAAATAGTTCAGTTCTTCTGTTGTTTACTCCAGATCCACTTTTATATGACCTAGAACAATATAAAGAAAACTTAAGAACATTTTTGGAAAACACTATAAAAATCAGATTAAGTGACTGACCCTAGTGAGATCAAAAGTGAACAAACTGTGCCTCTTCATTGTTTTGAATAATTAAAACTTTTTTCATTTCCCTCTAAGAATGCTATTGTAAATATAAATGCTTCTCTAAGACCTAAGTGTTTACTATGCTTTTCATTAAAATAACCCAATATTCTTAGTCAAAAACAAAAAATGTTACTTTTCCTTTCTTTGTCTATAGCTTCAATTTCTCCAAGTGGATGTAAAACAATGGACTGATTAGAACATGGTATGTAGAGCGGAAAGCATTAAAACAGAAATTTTTCTTCAAAACAGTGTATACTGGGCTTGGAATATAACTCATATGGTAGAGTGCTTGCCTGGCATGCACAAGGCTCTGGGTTCAATACCCAGCACCACACAACAACAACAACAAAAAAAACAGTAGATGTCATCATCAACTAAGCCTAAGGACCAATGAAATGAAGTATTCAGTGAAGTGCCAAATTTGGTATACTTAAAGATTTCTAACTTAGTTAAATTTTACAAAAAATGTCTTATCATTAACACTCTCATTTTTCTGTGTTCCACTAAAAATAAATTATTGAATTTTTTAAAATTCAAGAAACTGCACAAATGTTGCTCTACGACAAAAGAGGGTCATGCTGCTAAAACTGAGGTACTGGCTGAGAGGCAGCACCACTGCAAAAACTGCAAAAAACTACAAAAGTCTCAGGTATTGTTATTATACCTCATCTCACTAATCATATTATGCCTTGTGTTACACTATTTTAAATAACGTACCTTATTCCCTTCTAGCACCTAGATTATAAACAGGGCCAAGCTGGTCTTTTCATTTCTACCATCTATTGTGGCTACACAATGTCTTACTCATAGTTGGTGCTCAGGAAACAGTTTAATGAATGGCTGCACATACTTTTATCATCATTTTTCAAAACTAAGTCATTATAGAGGGTTGCAGTCTAGTCACTCCTACAAAGTATAAAAGTGCTGTTTATACATTAAAGGCCACTCTCTACCGTGGTTCTCACTGTATTCCTCAAAATGCATATGTAAGTCAACTGTATAGAAACTAAACAAAGACCCAAGGGACAAAAATATTATGATTGTCACAGTAGTATAACAAAATAAGGGAGCTTTAGGAAAATGTTTCTTAGAGTACACATAACACATACCAATTTGTGATAAGTGTATATCATTGTTTATGAAACAGCATAAATTTACCACAATGAGACAACGATAGGTATCATTAGATGGTCCAAAATAGAAAAGTCTTCAGCTTCAATTAGATGGCCACAGACCTGGACTTGATGGTCAGTCAAGTTCATTTGTGAAAAGTTATTCGAGAATACCTAAGAAAAGCAGGCTGGGGGATGTGGCTCAATAGTAGAGCTTGTGAAGCATGAGCAAGGGCCTGGGTTCAATCCCCAGTACCACAAAAAAAAAAAAAAAAGTATGAAATGCTAGAATATATCATCAAGGATGAGGTGAAGGAATGGAAGAAAAGAAAAAAATCTTTAAACTTATAGACTGAGATAAGCATAAAAATGTTTGAAGTCCTTAAATAATTTAATGTAAAATGATGAGTTTGTATTAAATCTGGAAAAAAACAAATATTTCAGAATTTCAGGGAAATAAAGGTTACATTAATAGCTACCTGAATATAAAATTGTTGGGATAAGGGAGAGGAGCAGGAGATAGATGTTCATCAAGGGCAACATGGAGAACTTCAGTTACGTTATTATTCTTAGGGTAGATATAAAAGGTCAGAGAAGATCTCATGAAGATGTCATGTAAGTTAGACTTTGAATAAAGACAGGAAATTCAAGGTTGGCAGGAGACAATGGTAAAACTAGGGAACCAGGAGATAAGACTGGCAAAGTAATCAGGACCAGAATATAGCAGTCTGTCTGTTCCAAAACTGTTGAAATGATAATTAGAAACCCTGAAATCTAAATCCTGACTGCAATTAACTACAGTTATATTCTAAATCTTCATAAGTACTCTACAAAATAATATAAAAGGTAACTTACTCAATATCTTTTCGTACTGATCCCATGAGATTCTCCCTTTCCCGTATTGCCATAAAGTTTGCTTTGGTTTTATGAAATTCATGTGTATAATCCTGCAATAAATCAACATCTAGTCTCAACATAAGTCATGTCATCATACTGTAAATTTCTAAACACTATTTTTCCATTCTATCTTTTAGTACCTTGTCTTATGAGGTATAATTATGAATAAAAATAAAATCCTAAGTAAAATGATTTCAAGTGGTTTAGGATAGAATTTTTGAGAGTTTTGTTTATTTATTTAAACTCAATAAACCTAGTAATAGGCTTATTTCTAAACTTCCTTTTTTCTTTTCTTTTCTTTCTTTCCTTTTTCTTTTTTGCAGTGCTGGGGATCACACCCAGGTCCTTCATCATGCTAGACAACACTTCACCATTGAGCTATACCCCTCAGCCCAAATCCTCTCCTTTTAATGCTCCCACTGAATTTTAATTCCAAAATAAATTAAATGAAGAACAAAAATCAAAAGAACTACAAGGAACAAAATAATCTTTAAAACATTTTATTTTTATACTACTGTAATTTTAAAAGGCATTAAAGAATATTATTTTTTTAATTCAGAAAAGTACATAAATAAAATGAACCATCTCCCAGAAGGCCTCTATTGACTAATCTTTTAAAAACAAATAAAACACATGAATATGGGGAGAATAGTAAAAGAATAGGGTTTAAAAAAAAATCCTGTTCCACCATTCATAACCATTATCATCCCTTTCTTGTGTTTTCTTCCAAGAAACATGTTTCTACATATTCAATTTTGTCTGTTATTTCTTTCTCCCCCTCCACCCCCCAACATAGGGGATTGAACCTGCAGGCACTCACTGTGAAGCTATGTACCCAGCCCTTTTTAATCTTTTAAAAATTTAAACATGGGTGTGGTGCTGCATACCTGTAATTCTAGGGGCTCAGGAGGCTGAGGCAGGAGGATTGCAAGTTGAAAGCCAGCCTCAGCAGAAAGGCCCTAAGCAAATCGGTGAGACCCCGTCTCTAAATAAAATACACAAAAGGTTTGGGGATATGGCTCAGTGGTTAAGCACACATGGGTTCAATACTGATATCAAAATTAATTAATTAAATTATATTAATAAATTGAAACAGGGTCTTGCTAAGTTGCTGAGACTGGCCCTAACCTTGCACTCCCCTTGTCTTAGTCTCTCAAGTTGCTGGGATTACAGGTGTGCAACACTGTGCCTGGCTTGCATTCATATTTTGCTAAAGAAATCATACTATACATTCTGATGCACACTCTATTTTTTATAGATCATAAAACGTCAAGCAATCTTTCCATACCAGCAAATGGAAATCTACATTACTTTTTTCCTTTATTTTTACTTTTATTTCTGGTGGTGTACAAGACTGAATCCAGGGTTTCATGCATGATAAGCAGGTGTTTGGAAGATACATCCTAAATGTATCTACAACCTACATCACTCTTTTAATAGTTGCATAGAATATTAAGACTCATAATTTAATAAATTCACTACTGATAAACATTCTAGTTGTCTTCATTATTTTCTATTAAAAATGCTGCAATAGGGGCTAGGAATGTACTCAGTGTGGTAGGGTACTAACCTACCTGTATGTGAGGTGCTGGGTTCAATTGTCAGCACAATATATACAAACACACACACACAAAAACTGCAATAATCATTCCTGTACATATATTTTGTTGAATAGATGGGCAGACATATGATTGTAATCCCAGTTACTTGGGAGGCTGAAGCAGGAGAATGGCAAGTTCAAGTCTAGCCTGGGCAATTTATTGAGAGCCTGTCTCAAAATAAAATTAAAAAGAAAAAAAAAAAAAGCTGGGAATGAAGCTCAGTGGTAGAACACTTGCCTAGCATGTGCCAGATCCTGGGTTCAATACCTAGTACTGGGGGAAAAAAATTCTGATAGAGCTAAATTACCTACTAGAAAGACTGCACCAATTTACAGACCCACCAATGACTTATGAGTGCCTATTCTTCAACATGCTTGCCAATCATGGGTTACAAATATTTGAATATTTGTTAATCTGATAGATGAAAAAAAATCTCATTTTGATATGCATATTTTATTTGGGAATATGACCAAACATCTTGTGGTTTCAGCCTGTGTGTGTGTGTGTGTGTGTGTGTGTGTGTGTGTGTGTGTGTGTGTTGCCAAGGACTGAATTCAGGCCCAAGAGTATGCTAGGCTCTATCAGTGAGCTATACCCACAATCCTCAGCCACTCATTTAAGTGAGCAAATTTATATTCTTTGACTATTTTCCTAAGTTGTCATTTTTCTTTTTTGGGGTGCTAGGGGTTGAACCCAGGGGTGCTTAACTACTGAGCTACATCTCCATCCCTTTTTATTTTGAGACAGGGTCTTGCTAAGTTGCTTAGGGCCTCAATGAATTGTTGAAGCTGACCTAGAACTGAGGCTGCTGTCTCTGCCTCCCCAGCTGCTGGAATTACAAGGATGTACCAGCATGCTTGACTTAAGTTGTCTTTTTTCTATTTCTATTATTTCTCTTAGTATTAAGAAAATTAGTTATTTTCTACAGTTTCTGGGATTTGCCCTTACTTAGAAAACCCTCTACTGCTCCAAAATTTATAAATTTTAACCATGCTTTATTCTGAAATTTTATGGTTTCATTTTCTGTTTTACTTTCCTTTTGCATTGCTGGGGACTAAGCCAGTGCCTTGCACATGCTTATTTTTCTAAATATAATCCTTGGTCCATCTAGAATTTATTCTGGTTGTGAGGGCTGAGGTAGAAATTGAGGTGGTTATCTTCCAACCCCCAAACAGTCAATTGTTATAGTTCCATTTATTTTATAATTTCTTTGTCCTGATATAAAACACCCACTTTTATCAGAAGCTACATTTCCATGCATATATGGAACTCTATATATGAACTCTATTTTGTTCTATTAGTACATATGTTTTTTCTTCTAGAATCAAACTGTCTTAACTATTCTAACTTTTTAATAAGTTTTAGTATCTGGTAAAATTAGCCACTGCTTATCTTTATTTTTAGAAGATAAACTTTATTGAGCTTTACTTTTCTTAGTTATTCTTGTATGTGTATGATTCCAAATGAACTTTTGGGTCATTATATCATGAAAAGAATGAAACAAACATGAAAAAACCCTGCTACTTCCATTGGGATGACATTCAATTTATAAGACGACTTAGAGGGAAATTTTCCCATCCAAAAGCAAAATAATTCTTTCTTCTGCTTACATTTTCTTCTATGTCCCTCAGTATACAAGTTATACATAAAGAATTTTACAGTTTCATCATTATATATACAGGTTTTTTTTGTGTGTGTTGTGTTCATTTTTTGGGGGGGGAGGAGGTGGTGGTGGTGCTGGGAATTGACTGCAGCCCCTTCCATTATATTTCTAATAGGTGACTCTATGTAGAAAAACTGCTTGGTTTTATATACTAATTTTATAGTCTACCATTTTTTTTTAAATCTACCATCTTACTGAATTAAATGTTTCTAACATTTTTCAGTTAATTTTCTTGGTTATAGAGACACATAATCTTATCCTATCACAAGAAAGAAATTTTGTCTCTTATTTTCTAATATTGATTTCAGATTTCTTTTTACTAATTGCCCACCCAAACTTCCAAAACAATACTACATATTTGTGGTGCACATAGGTATACTTGTTTTGTTTTTATCTACAGTGCTTTACCATTAACTCCAATGCTGATTTTTAATCTGAGAGTCACATTTCTGCATTAGGTGATCAATTTTTCTATTCCTATTGTTTTGTGTATGATGCTGGGGAGCAAACCCAAGGGCCTTATGTATGCTAAGCACACACTCTACCACTGAGCTACACTCTAGTTCTATTCTGGTTTTTAAAAAGAGTTTTTAAAATTAGAAATGGTAGCTAAATTTTATCAATATTTACAATGTTTGGCTGGATGTGGTGGTGAATGCCTCTAATTAATCCTAGGAATCTGGGAAAGAAACTGAATCAGGAAGACAGCAAGTTCAAGGCCAGCGTCAGAAACTTAACAAGACCTTATCTCAAAAGAAAAAATAAAAAAGGGCTGAGGATGCAGTTGAATAGTAGAGTGTCTATGGGGTCAATCCCCAGTACTGGAGGAGGGGGGAAAAAAAAGCCTTCTTTCAAGTACTACATTTTTAATACCCCCATATAAGTCTTTGTATTTATTTGCTTTTATTGAATACTTCTAGCATTTTCCCAACCAATACACTATTTATAGTAAATTACTCTCCCTTCCATATTATCTTGAAAGCCTGATAAAAGTGTAATCTAAATCACCATATTATTGTTGATGCATGAATATTGGCTATTTTCTGTTACAGCTAGCTGACAGGTCTTCTGGAAGTGTATGTATCAAGTGATAAGCATTCAACTTCATCAGGAAAAAGCAAGATATATTAAGTATTTCCCAAATTTTACACTACTGATCAAAAAAGAAAAAAAAAACAATAAAAAATGAATTTCTATATAGTATATCATTTATCTTCTCAGAATAATTTTCTCTTTATTCTTTTAAAAACATATTATCTACCCTATTAAATGATTAAAAAACAAATCAAACAAAACTCTTGTGATAATGTAAAAAATTTCAAGCTCAATATATTACCTGTAATATGTCTCTATGTCGCTGTAACGTATGCATGAGTGCTGCATTCAAGGAGGGGACACCTGCACTGTTGGTATATTCTGCCATTTTATCATTTACCCCTGTAAGCTAAAAAGAAAAAATAAATTTAAAACAAAATTTAGAAAGCACTATATGCAGCGAAAAGCAAATTATTTCTATATATATATGTATGCCCTTTTGACTGATAGCAAAACAAAACCGATTCAGCATTTTCCGCCAAGTAATTCAGAGAGGCTAAAATAATACCCATTTTGGGGATGGCTGTCATCAAATTCAAGTGGCATGGGGAGGAACACATCTTAAATGAATGTTATGATTTCAATAAATACGTCTGCAACAATTTAACATAGTACCATACATAACAAGTACACAATTAATTAACAGAAAGTACTTACCCTTGCCAAAAGTTGTTCAATCTCAATTGCCATTGTCTCAAACATTCTGTCTTGGCTTGATCCATTTAAAAGGGGTGTTGTGTCAGAACTAAAGAAAAGTTCAATTAAAAGAATCCATTACTCAATTCTAGTCCTTTAAAACATATCTAATAAGGTAATTATTCTTTTTTATGGATTTTTTTAGCTTTATTTTATTTATTTATTTTTATTTGGTGCTGAGGATTGAACCCAGTGCCTCACATGTACAAGGCAAATGCTCTACTACTAAGCCACAATCCCTACCCAAGGTAATTATTCTTAAAGAGGTCAAGAACAGGGCTGGAGTTGTAGCTCAGTGGTACAGCGCTTACCTAGCACATGTGAGGCACTGGGTTTGATCCTCAGTACCACATAAAAGTAAATAAATAAAATAAAAGTATTGTGTCCATCTACAATTATAAATAATAATAATAAATATTTTAAAAAGAGGTCAAGCAGGGCTGGGGCTGTAGTTCAGTGGCAGAGCTTTTGCCTAGCATGTGTGAGGCATTGGGTTTAATCCTTAGCACCACGTAAAAAAAATAAATAAAATAAAAGCATTCTGTCCATCTACAACTATAAAAAAAAAAAAA